TTTATAAAAGACAAAACCAAATAGCCTAACAGGCATGTGCTGGTATGCTCAAGCTCATTAATAATCAGAGAAATATAAAATGAAATAGCACTGAGATTTCACTTTATACCTCTGCCAAAAATTAGAAAGATGGATAATGCAAGTGTAGCTGGCATTGGGGCTATAGGATCTTGCAGGCCCTGCTAGTGAGAGTGGTATAGCCATCCCAAAAAGCAATTTGGCAGTTCTTAGTGAAATTAAGAATAAGCATACCCTATGATACAGCATATATCCTTGGTTATACGAGGGCTGTGTGGAAAGTATCCAGCCACTGTTAATATAGCAAGAACGATTACATGGCTGGATGCTTTCCCGATAGCCCTTGTATATCCCAAAGGAATTTACGTACTGGCCCACATGAGGGCAAAGATAAGAGAGTTTATCATGGTCTAGTTTGTGTTAACAGGTAATTGGGGACAATCTGAGTGGTCACACTGGGGCAGTCAATAAACTGTGGGGAAGCATCGTGCATCTATTAGAAGAACTAGACTGAATAAATATATAGCAACATGAACAAATATTAATGTGCTGACATACATATCAGAATACCACTTATAACCTGGTGCAGTGGCTCTTGCCTGTAATCCTAGCACTTTGGGAGGCCAAGATGGGAAGATCACTTAAGGTCAGGAGTTCAAAACCAGCCTAAGCAACATAATGAGACCCCATCTCTACAAAAAATGGTGACACGCACCTGTATTCCCAGTTACTCAGGAGGCTGAAGCAGGAAGATCACTTGAGCCCAGGTTGCAGTGAGCTGTGATCACTCCACTACCCTCATGCCCAGGCAACAAAGTGAGACTCTATCTCCAAAAAAAAAAAAGAATACCATTTATGTTAACTAAAAACACATGCATACAAATCAGCACACATTTTTATTTTTCAAGTACATCTATAAACAAAAGGATGTATTTTAAATGCCTTGGAGTATTTGCTAGTGGTGAGAAGAGAATGGAAAGGGGGATGGGAGTAACAAGGGGATCAATAAATACAACGCAAAAGGGTTTGTGTGGACCTGTGATAATGTCATGAACTAAGAGTGATGTCACCAATTCAGCCCTCTACACCTGAGATTCAACGAAAGGGAAACAGAAGAATTGCACCACCAGATATGTGTAATGGAGAATATTTTTTTCTGTGAAGGAAATGGCTTAATTGCTGAAGGAGTTGAAAGATGGCCACAAATTCCTTGGTGGACTTTATTTCCCCTCCTTCAAAACCGGGCTCTGTGACTGCCTAACCAATAGAATGTGGCTGAAGAGACTCTGCTAGTTCTGGGCTAGTGAAAGTTCTGGGGTTCCTCCCTCTTGGAACCCTCATTCTCAGGACACTCCCTCTTAGAACCCAGCCACATACTCTGAGAAGCTCAAGTCACATGGAGAGGTCATTGCAGGAGTTTCCTGGGACAAGCCCAGCTGAGCCCCAGCCTGGAGCTGTGAGCCACATGACCCAACTTGGACTTTCCCACTCAATTTTTTTTTTTTATTAGGATATATTCCCACTCAATTAAGCCTCAGGGCGACTACAGCCCCAGCTGATGTCTCGGGAACAAGAGACCCACCAGCTGAGCCCAGTTAATCCACAGAATCACGAGATTAAAAATGTTGTTTTAAGCCACCACATATTGGGAGATTTGTTACAAAATGACAGATAACCCATACAATTCTCTCAATCATTAAAAAATGTAAGCTTAGACATGGAATCTTTAAAAAAAAAGAAAAAAAAAGAAAAAAATAATAATAATCAGGAGCTGGCCAAGGACGCTGGCTTATGACTGAAATGCCAGCACTTTAAGAGGCCAAAGCAGGAGGATCGCTTGAGGACAGTTCAAGACCAGCCTGGGCAACACAGTTATGCCATGTATCTACAAAAAAAAAATATTTTTTTTAATTAGTTGGGTGTGGTATAGTGTGTCTGTAGTCCTAGCTACTCAGGAGGCTGAGGCAGGAGGATTGCTTGAGCCCAGGAGTTGGAAGCTGCAATTAGCTATGATCACACTACTGCACCCCAACCTCAGTGACAGAGCAAGACCCTGTCACTAAAAAAAAAAAAAAAAAAATCAAAAGCATCCAAATCACAATAAAGTTTAGAGTGTTTCCCAGACCACAAATCATTTATTTAAAATTTACAAAAAGAAAAGACAAAAAAGCCAATCAAGGCCGGGCGCGGTGGCTCACGCCTGTAATCCTAGCTCTCTGGGAGGCCGAGGCGGGCGGATTGCTCGAGGTCAGGAGTTCGAAACCAGCCTGAGCAAGAGCGAGACCCCATCTCTACTATAAATAGAAAGAAATTAATTGGCCAACTAATATATATAGAAAAAATTAGCTGGGCATGGTGGCGCATGCCTGTAGTCCCAGCTACCCGGGAGGCTGAGGCAGAAGGATCACTCGAGCCCAGGAGTTTGAGGTTGCTGTGAGCTAGGCTGACGCCAGGGCACTCACTCCAGCCTGGGCAACAAAGCAAGACTCTGTCTCAAAAAAAAAAAAAAAAAAAAAACTTGATAAAATGTAAATACTTAGAAAACAGTTATAACTTTTAAGCTTATTTAACAAAAATCCTTTCCATTACACTATACCCTCCATTTCTAGGTATAAATAATCATACAAACTACTGTGTCCAGGCTGCTTCCATATTCAGCCTTCTGAATGATTTGTATAATGTTACATATATTTAGGGCATCCATTTAAAATCAAGAGATTTCATACAAAAATTTAAATGTTTACCTTCTCCTGAAAAACTGGAAGATGTGGCATGAAATCTTTGCATTTCCTAGTGTCAACAATGAATATCTTACTGTATTTTTTAATTTTTATTTTTATTTATTTTTTTAATAAATTTTTTACCTTTTATTTTTTTATTTCTCCATCTATGATTGTAAATGAATGGCAGAAAAGAATATCTTACTGTAACCTGCCCCCCAGTGAACATATTTCATTCAACGACCCCTATATAATCCTCTTCTTACTAACCACTTGAACTTTCAAATTATTTCCAATAATAGTGATTTCTGGCAAGACAAAGAGACCTAAGATCTGAAGCCCCCTGGCAGACTTCCTGGTGCTTAAAACGTCACATCGTCTCTAAGCACTGCCCCATGGCTCGTAGCCCCCTGTTAGGCTAGCCATACCAGCCCAAGCACACGCCCCTCTGTTAAAACCCTGATCTCCCTTAGTCGAGACGATGGATTGAGGAGCTTCTCCTATTCGCCCAACAGATGTCTGACTACTTAACAAAATTCCTTTTCTCTTGACACCTCATCTCTAATAATGAGATTTTTGTGCAAGAGCAACTGGACTAAACCAAAACCCTTTGCAGTTTCTTTTTTTTTTTTTTTTTTTTTTGAGACAGAGTCCCGCTTTCTTGGCCTAGGCTAGAGTGGAGTGGCCGTGGCATCAGCCTAAAGCTCACAGCAACCCATACTCCTGGCTGAAGTGATCTCTGCCTCAGCCCTCCCGATGTAGCTGGACTACAAGG